TCTTTGTTGTTTTCCTTTTTTCACTTTATTAATAAATTCAAATATTTTGCAAAAAAACACCTTTAACCCTCCTAAAAGATTGCCCAGGTGGAAGTGGGCAGGATAATGTGCTCAGATAACCAGGACAGCCTTTTTTGGGCTGCTGCAGACTCAAGTGAGCATTTGCCACGTGCTAAACCAGCAGAGACTTTGAGCAGGGCAGTTTAGGGAGCTCAGCCATCTGGGAGGTGCTGAACCAGGAACTAAATGAACATAAAATCAAATATACACTTCATTAAGCTTAATTAATGTTGTCAGTAATTTATAGGATATTATTAAATAAATTGGAATGGTTCTTTTTGGGAGGTGGCAGCCCTGGCATAATGCAGTGTTCTGGCATTGTTTTTATGTGAGAGTGACTGAAGGTGCAGCTCAGCAGAGCAGGTACTTCATGTTCTGCTCTCTGCCTTTTAATTTGATGGGGAAGTTTTTTGACAGGAGTAAATTCCCTCTGTGCTGCACCACAGATCAATTTACCTCTCCAGTTTGGAGGGGAGAGAGGCTGTTTGTTCATAAAAACCTCTTCAAATCTGCCACTCTGTCTCTTTCTTTGAATAAAAAACACTAAACACAACACCTTGAACATACAAATGTGTGGACATGGTAACACAGAATATTAATTTGAATAACAAAAATACTTGATCTGACTTGGGGGAATTTATTTTGACTGTTTTTTCCTGGCTAAATGCTGAAGGAATCAGTTGGAAGGAGAGAAATAAACTGGCAGAGAAGCCTGGGGGCTTTGATGAAGCTGCTGCCTGGCAGATAATAATTGTCAGCCTGAGCTGTCCTGCAAAGGACAAGGAGCTGCCCAATAAATCAGATGGCAGAGATGACAGCTCTTGGGGCTGAGCAGCTCAGCTCTGTTCCCAGCTCCAGCAGTGGGAACATCCCATTTTTCTGCTGTCATCCCTGTGGGAGAGCAGTCCCCTGGCAGGACAGATCTCATCCCTCACGTCTGAAGGCCTCTGTAACAGCGCTGTGCAGGAAAAGCCCCAGTGCTCTGTGCAGCTGTGCCCTGTGTGCAGCTCTGGGAGTGGTGCTGGATGTTAAGGGGGTGAGGAATGCTCAGTGCAGCTCAGGACAGGAGCACACAGAGGGACAGCGAGTCAGGAAACTTCCAGGGATTTACTGGCGAGGGCACGGCGCTGGGATGGTTCTGCCCAGCAAGGGTGTGGATTGTTGGCTGTATCCCTGCCTTCTACTCACCTCTTTCCTTCCTTTTGGCTTCTTTCTCTCCCTGTCCATCCCCCTGCTCAATCTTCTCCCCTCTGCCAAGGTGACAGACATGATGCAGAAAGCTCTCTTTGACTTCCTGAAGCACAGGTTTGATGGGAGGTGAGAAACTCTGTCCTTCTCATGCTGCTTTGCCCTTGTGTTACTAACATTGCAGTCCATTATTTTATTTTTTCAGTGCCAGAGGGTTTGCTGCATGATCAAAGCTGAATTTCTGGCTTTGTGTCACCACTGAAGAGTGGGACACAGCTCATGTGTTTCTAGGGGTGCACATGTCTGCATTTCTGCTGTGGCTGGGCTATGATTTCTTAGTTTAACACAAGAATTCTGTCTCAGTGTCTTCCCAACACCTAAGAAAAATCAGCTCTAAAATATTCCTTATATGAGATTTTATTTTGATTGCCCTAAGTAGGCAAAAATACTTAAAAGGGTGGTTGGAAGAAGGAAATTCTGAGAAATAAAACAGCAAAATACTTGTAAGGAGGGTTCATCTTCAGCTGGAGCATTTCCTGGTGAGCTGCAGGGGATAAATTGGATTTCCTTGCTAGGAACACTGGCTTGGTCCATGGCATCACCTCAGTCCTTGTAGGTGTCTGCTGCATCTGTGGCATGTTCTGCCCTTCCCAGTTAGTTCAGGATATTCCAGCTGGGAAAAGAAGCTGTTCTGGTAACACCTAACACTAAGTCAGGTTTGAAATACCCAAACCACCAGGGCAGGGAAAATGAAATTCTGTCGAAGAGCTGGAGCAGGATTTATGGATTTTAGGAGTGAGGAGGTGGCAGTGCTGAACTGATCCCTAAACAGCTCAGAGAGAACGTTTAATGATCAACTTCTGTGCAAAGTATCTCCTCTCCTGGTCTGGGCTGAGCTGCTCAGCTCAAGTGATTTTCTGGAAGTCCTAATTCCATCAGCACTATTGGCAGCTGGATCAGGTGGGAGTATGAAATTTCAGCAGTGGAGAGCTCAGTGCCACCAGCAGCCTGAGACCATTGATTTTAGCTCTGAGGAGCTCAGGAAAAAGCTTCTTCTTGGTCCTTCTGCCAACTTCTATGGCTTTGTGGGCTTTCTCCTCCCTCCCTTGTCTTTCTTCTTTCTTTCTTTCCATCTCTTGGGCAGTTTTGGGAGACATCCACGTTACCAAGAAAGGAGCTGAGTGTCCAAGGAAGAGCCTTTCCAAACACATCAGAGAGACCTGACTCCTTCCCTGCCTCTGAACTCCCTTGGCCTTGCCAGCTCCTTCCTTTGTAACTGGGAACTCCCCTGCTGGACAGTGAGCCCACAATCCATTCATTTCTATTTTAAACTCATTTTTACTTTTGGCCTCCACGGTATGCATTTATTTATGTATTATGCAGAAAAATAACTGCACTTCTTTTTAACGCTGCAGCTGAAAATTCCACTTAGAGCTGCATAAATCTTAGGTCCTGTGCAAAAGCTGCTGGTCATTCCCAGCTTGATTTCTTTCCATTTTTCCTGGCTCCTTGGCTCATCCTAGGCCTCCTAATTGTAATTGACATGAAGGGATTGTGTGGCCTTTGCTTTGTAACATTTTGTGTCTTTCTAACTCGCTGACAGATGAAGTAAATGAATCGCCTGCCTTAAGTTAAAGAGGTGCAGTGAAGTTAAACTTGAGTTCAGGCAGTCCAGAGAGCTCCACTTCCTTTTCTCCTGCTCATCCCAGCCCTGGCACAGCTCCCTGTCAGCTGGGCTGGGTTTACTCCTGGTGTAACTCTGGGGGAAAAGGAAGTGCTGCTACATTGCAGCTCCCTCGTTCTGAGTGCCCCGAGCCTCATAACTCACAGCATTTATGGCACTGTGTAAATTCATGCAGGAGATGAGTGAGCTGGGACGAGGAAAGTTAATTAATGCACTAAGGAGAATAGCAGGAACTCCATCCCAGGGCTCAGGGAATAGGAAATACATCCCAGTTCCCCAGCACTTCTGTTCAGTTTGTTCTTTAATGATGCCATAACTCATCTGGAAACGTGCCTGGGCGTGTTTGGTTGTGTTTGCCCTTTGGAATGGGCTGTGGAAATCCCACTCCTGTGTCTGTGTGTGCTGTGCTCTCCTGGCAGGATATCCATAACCAGAGTGACAGCTGACATCTCCCTGGCCAAGAGGTCTGTGCTCAATAACCCCAGCAAGAGGGCCATCATCGAGCGCTCCAACACCAGGTCCAGCCTAGGTGAGGCCCTGGCACAGCTGAACTCAGGCTGTGCTTATACACAGGGGGCAGGACACCATTCCAGGATCATGGATCCAGCTCCTGGCCCAAAACCCCACCCTGGAGCACCCCTGGAGCACCCCTGGAGCACTGTGCAAACCTTCATGGAGCTCTGGCCATGCCCATTCCCTGGGCAGCCTGGGCACCCTCTGGGGGAAGAACCTTGCCCTGAAATCCAGCCTGACCCTGCCCTGGCTCAGCTCCAGCCATTCCCAAGATCACAGCAGTTGTGCAGATTTAAATGAGTCTACAGCCTTTTGCTGCATAATCCTGAGCTGCCCTCTCAGCTCCTTCTCCTTCCCAGCCCTGTGCTTCTAATTCCACATCACAAGGAGCCAAAGAGCTTTCACTTGTCCAGCCAAGGAAATGTCATTCCTGGTCCTGGGACCAGTTTTGGGATTAATTTTGAGCAGTTACAGCTGAATGTTGCTGTCTGGCTGTGAGACTTTGGGTCCTGCTCCTCTCCTCAGTGTCAGGATTGATGGGGAGCAGTGGCATGAGGAATTTTTATTTGGACTCCATGATCTTGGAGGTCCTTTCCAACCTTGATGGATCTGTGATTGTGTGATTCTTTCTTGCACAAGGGTGGAAATCTCTGTGTGTCACGTGCATTCCAACATCCTGCTCTCTGGGACACCTTCCCAGGATCTGAGAGGAGTTGGGTTTGGTAAAAAAAAGAACCCAAATTCCAAATCTCTGCCATACTGAGTGACTTCTTACACTAGAAGTAGAGGTAACAGGTTATTTATGGCAATGCCATCAATTCACATGTGGAGTCTGTGACAGTGAGGGTATTTTCATCCCAGTGGTTTCACCTGCTTTGTTTTCCTTTGCAGCTGAAGTGCAGAGTGAGATTGAAAGAATCTTTGAGCTGGCCAGGTCCTTACAGCTGGTTGTCCTGGATGCAGACACTATAAATCACCCTGCACAGCTTATCAAGACATCTCTAGCACCAATTATTGTCCATGTGAAGGTGTCCTCTCCAAAGGTAATTCCTCACCCTAAGATCCAGGAGGGAGCTGGAGGGCAGGGTGGGAATGGGCAGTGTGGAATCTGTGAAAAGAAGTGACATAATGTACTGCTGGTGTGCTACAGTCCACCCAGCAATCCATATAATTCTGTATAAATATAATTTTCATGCTTCCCTATTGTCAGAAATAACTTAGGACTTAAAGTAGGATCAAGCAGAAATGCATTTGAAATTTTTCAATGGCTCAAACATGATCCAGAGGGAAATGTTCCCAGTTCTCAGAGGGGTTATCAGAAAGGTTTGGGATATTCAAGGGCAATATTTTATGGAGAGCTTCTGTTCTTGGTAATCCCTCAGGGGGATGTCAGGCTGAGCTTTAGGGAGATGAATGATCCTTCAACTCACCTTTTGCCCTTTCCTCCTGGCAGGTTCTGCAGCGACTGATCAAGTCCAGGGGGAAGTCACAAAGCAAACACTTGAATGTCCAGTTGGTGGCAGCTGATAAACTTGCACAATGCCCACCAGTAAGTACAGAGGAGAGGCTGAAGAACTCCTGCTTTGTGGAATTCTGATGATTCCTGCTGTGCTGATCCCTGTGCAGAGCTGGGTCCATCCATTATCACTCCCTGGTGGTGCTCACACGGCCCTGCACTCGTGAGACACAAAGTGCTGCAGACTTTCATCCTGGTTATCTCCTGCCCTGGGTTTGTTTTGGTCTTTGGCAGGGTGACAGGGCAGGAGTGACATGGAGGGGACAACAAATCTGTTAACTGGAAAATTACATCATTTGTGGAGCTGCAGCTCCCAGAGGGACAAAGTCTGGGTTTGGAGAGGCCTCCCCTCGCTGCACAGGGAGTGTGTGGAAAGAGAAAGGGGAGTGTGCAGGCATGTGAGCCCTGCTCCTGATCCTGCAGGCCATCCCAGTCACCTCATCAGAGCACAGCCACTGCTGTCCCAGCTCCTGAGCAAAGATCTGCCCCCCTCCTGGAGTCCTGAATCCCTGCTGATGGAGCAGGGCTCATGGGCAGGGCTGTGGAGAGGCTCTGCAGGGGTTTGCACAGGGCAGCTCCGAGTTGCTTTTAGTTTTGAAAGCCACACCTGGTTTGTGGGACAGAGGCAGAGGAAATGGACTTGGATGTGGCTTTGTGTGGGATCTCTGTGGGATATTGGGATGGGAGTGCAGAGTGCAGAGGTACCAGAGCAGTGACAGCTTCTCTGGGCAGCCTGTTCTTCTGCAGAGCTCAGCTGTGTTACATTTCTCACATGGAATTTATTTATTACTGAGTTGTGATCTCTTAAAATGCTGCTGGGTTATTCCTGTGAGCCATCCAGGTCCCACTAACCCAACCAGAGTTGTAACTCTCCTGGAGAACAAAGTGATCCCTCTAAAACACATCCCTCCCCAGCTCTGATGGGTGTGAGCTGAGGCACTGGCTGCAGCTGCCCCTGCTTGTGGTGTTTCCCTGAGCTTGCACATTGTCCTGTGTGAAAGGTGTTTCCTCTGGCACCTGCACGCAGAACCCTGGGCAGTTTCACAGCCTTTTTTTTGCTCTTTATGCAGTGATTCCCTATTGCTCAGCTTCACTCACATCAGCTGAAACGAGAGAAGTTACCAGAGAAGCTGTGGCTGCCCTGGCAGTGTCCCAGGCCAGGCTGGACAGGGCTTCAAGCACCCTGGGGCAGTGGAAGGTGTCCCTGCTGTAGGCAGGGGTGGATGAGCTGGTTTTTTAGGTCCCTTCTAACTCGTGGGATTCCCAGATTCCATGAAATAATCCACGTGGGGTGCATTGTGGCAGCTGGATTGTCCATCCCCAGATTTACTGAACTCTGCCTCAACACCCAGGCCTGGAATTGCATTCCAGTGCTGAAGGCAGACGGGTGAGGCCCCACCTGGATCAGAAAAGCCTCTCCAAAAGTCAGAGCCCCAGGTTTCAGCCATGAGCCCAGCCCTGCTCCCAGGCTGTTCCCACCCTGCCCTGCCCAGGAGCTGCTCACAAACCAGCTCAGCACTTTGCACTGGTGATGGGAAGGAAGTGAGTGCTGACTCTGAGCTCTCCCAGAGAGGTGGCAGCCTGGCTTGGCTTGAAATTAAAGTTGGCCCACTGTTTAATTAAGTGAAAGTTCATTGCTAAGAGCAAAGGCACTGCTCCCTCTCTCCTGCTCATCCCTTTTGCAGCTCAGATTGCTGCAAGAGGAGAATTTGGAGTGTTGGTTTAAAGGGAAGGTCCTTGCACAGACTGCAGTCCTCTGTTCCTCTGCTGAGAGGCAGCATAAGGAATGAGCTGGAGCTGCATGTCTAGACACTGTAAAAATAGCTGTAAAAATAGCTGTCTCTTTGGGCATATTTGAGCTCAGGAACTGCTTTCATTATTAATTCCTTGCTAATCTGCCCCTGACACTGCTCAAACCAGTGCTGGGCACTGCAGGACACCACGAACATTGGACACAGGAACATTGCAGGACACAAGAATATTGCAGGACACAGAAATATTGCAAGTCACAGGAACGTTGCAGGACACAGGAACATTGCAGGACACAGGAATATTGCAGGACACAGGAACATTGCAGGACATCAGGAATATTGCAGGACACAGGAATATTGCAAGGCTCCAGGAACATTGCAGGACATCAGGAACATTGCAGGACACAGGAATATTGCAGGACACCAAGAACATTGGACACAGGAATATTGCAGGACACAGGAATATTGCAGGGCTCCAGGAACATTGCAGGACACAGGAATATTGCAGGACACAGGAATATTGCAAGGCTCCAGGAACATTGCAGGACATCAGGAACATTGCAGGACACAGGAATATTGCAGGAAACCAAGAACATTGGACACAGGAATATTGCAGGACACAGGAATATTGCAGGGCTCCAGGAACATTGCAGGACACAGGAATATTGCAGGACACAGGAATATTGCAGGGCTCCAGGAACATTGCAGGACACAGGAATATTGCAGGGCTCCAGGAATATTGCAGGGCTCCAGGAACATTGCAGGACACAGGAACATTGCAGGACACAGGAACATTGCAGGACACAGGAATATTGCAGGACACAGGAATATTGCAGGACACAGGAACATTGCAGGACATCAGGAACTCCACTGCAGGAACATGACAGGGCTCAAGGAAACACAAACAGCCTTCAATCCACTGCTCATCAGGAGTTTATCATGGTTGTTATTTTTTGAAACTTCTGAATTCATGCCCATGCTATGAGAGGGTACAAACCCCTCTGGTCTATTTGACACAACCTAAAAGATACCTGAGATTATACAGCAGAATTCAAGTGCTTTGGTTAATTAAAATATAATTAGGATATATTTATGAGTTGAAATTCTTCCTCCTCTCAGGTACACAGTGGTTCTACAGCAAACCAAAAGAAATAGCAGAGGACAGTGGGCACTGCTGTGCTCTTCAGGAAAGGCCACTTGTATCACTAGAGAGTCACCAGGAGCTGGGAATGCTCCTGTGGAACTTCTGTGCATGGAAGAACATCTTGCAGAGGAGCTGCTTTACTCCATGCCCCTCACAAACAGAGATCTTCCTAAAAGATGATTTCCTGCCAAATATGTAGAAACAGAACAGACCCAGCTGAGGGATGAGCAGAACTGTTAAATGCAGGAGAAAAGCTGAGTGGTTCTCTGTCATTTATTCTCCGTGTCACACACTGCAGTCAGGGTCCTGCCAGGGCTGCAGCTCCTCCAGGTGACCTCCAGGCACAGCCTGAGAGGCTCCCAGTCCAGTGTCACTGTGCAGGGGAATATTCAAAGGGTCACAGTTGTTAAAGAGTCCTTAATCCACTTTAATTCTTTATTTAAGAAAACATGTTGCACTCCCAAGTGCTTAATTTCAATCTTTTCCGAAGCAAAGTATATGCAAGCAAACCACATTATTTTATTTTCTAATTTAACTGCGGTTTAATTGATAACTTCTTACACGAGTGATAGACTGGAATGTGTGGTGCATCAACATGTGGGTGAATAGCAAAAGAGTAAAAGCAGTAAATAAAGAAAGGAGCAAAAGAAGAGCAAGAAACACTGAACTGGATGCAGTGTTAGGAATATTCTGATTAGAAGGAAACTCCTCCTTGCTGGCAGAGGAGGAAACTTTTCTGTGACATGCTGGGAAGAGGGAATAAATGAAAAAAAGAATAAAAAATCCTTTATTATTTTAAATCTTATTTTGAGAGCTATAAAAACAGGTGGAAGAGAGCAGCCTGCGGTTGATGCTGGCTGCCCTTTACACCCACAGCACCTGCACTTATTTTTCATTTCCTGTGCTGTTCTCACAGTGTTTTGCAAAGTTAAGATTCGAGATGAGATAGGAAGTTGAAGTGCTGAAAACAGGGTTGTGATTCTCTCGAGGGGCTCTGCTGGTTCTGGCAGGTTGGAGGACAGGCAGGCATGGAGGTGGTTTCAGCCAGCACATGGAGGAGGTGTCTGGAGAATTCCCTGAGGCAGGAATGCTGCTGCTGTCAGGACTGCCTGCTGCCTTCACTGCTGTGGGAATGGTTTTAGGGACATCAGCTCTGGAAGGAAATAAATAAATTAAAGAGCTTTGTGCCCAGGAACACAAGAGGGCTGATGCAACACCCAGGGACTGAGGGACAGTGTCCAGTGACTCCCGAGGGCTTTGGCTCTTGGTCACCTTCTAAAGCCACTTGTACCATTCTTTTCCAGAATGGTTTGGGGTGAAAGGGACCTCAAACCTCATCCAGTCCCAGGCCTGCCATGGGCAGGGACACCTCCCACTATCCCAGGTTGCTCCGAGCCCCATTCAACCTGGTCTTGGACACTTCCAGGGATCCAGGGATTCAGGGATCCAGGGGAATTCCTGCCTGGGAGGGAGGGGAGCCCCTGTCATGGAATTCCAGGGGAATTCCTGCCTGGGAGGGAGGGGAGCCCTGTCATGGAATTCCCAGCTTTCGCTGGGAATTCCATGACAGGGGCTCCCCTCCCTCCCAGGCAGGAATTCCTCCCCAGTATCCCATCCCTCCCTGCTGTGTTTCAGTGTGAATCCAAACCCCCTGGGCTGTCACAGGAAACCCTCTCCATGCTTCCAGCTCCCTCCCCTCTTCCCTGCTGCGATTCCCATTCCCCGAACACCTCCAAGTCTCGCTGTGACCCATCCCCTGCATGTCCCCATCCATGACCACGTGTGTCCCTGTGCCCAGGACATGTTTGACGTGATCCTGGACGAGAACCAGCTGGAGGACGCCTGTGAGCACCTGGCTGAGTACCTGGAGGCGTACTGGAGAGCCACGCACACGTCCAGCGCCGCGCCCGTGACGCCCCTGCTGGGCAGGAGCCTGGGGCCCTCGGCGCTGTCCCCGTACCCCGCTGCCATCTCCGGCCTGCAGGTAGGAACGGGCTGCTGGCTCTGCTGGCTCTGCTGGCTGGGCTCTTGGCTCTGCCAGGGGCTGTGCTGGCACTGCCACCTGCTCCCTGAGCTGCTGCCAGCGCCGCCTCGGGGTGCAGCCAGGGAGCAAGCGGCTGGGAATTCCGCTGGGAATGCTCTGCCTTTAGTGGGAAGTAAAACAACCAGCCATTTCCTAGCAGTCAGCTCTGTTTACATCCCTTTTATCCTACCCTCATAACTTCACCAAATATTCACTTTTGGGTGGAAAAGCTTGTTCTTTGAGTGTGAATAAAAGACATTTTTTTTAAATTTTTTTTTTACCCATTGAAAAAAATTGTGACCCTTTTTTTCCACAGGGATAGCTCAGACTCGGCTGAACTTTGACACTTCAATCGTGGCATGTAAATAGTCCTTAATGAGAAGTACGTGCTTTATTAAGTTTGAAACCAGAAATGTTTGGGGCTAATGACTGGGAATGCTTGAGGGGCTCAGGATCGCAGGGAGCTTTAAATCCTGCAAGTTTCAGTGTGTGGGGGACTCCAGGAGTGTCACTTGCTAATAATGTACATCAGAAATAGAACTGAACAAATGACATTTAATGAATAATTCACCTGACAAATGTTGTATCTGCTCTGCTTGTGGAGTGTCTGGAAGCAGGTAACAGTTTTGGAGGAAATGACTGTTGTTTGGTGTTTTCAGTTAACATCCAACTGGCTTTGCTGTGAGTGAGCTGCACTTCCCTGAAGGTGCTTAATTCCTGCCCTCACCTTTCTAAAGCCCTGCTTGGTTTTATTGGGACCAGCAAGTCACTGTCTCCTGAGTGGCTGAATGCACAAGCACTGTTCTGTTACTAATAATAACGTGCACATGTAAACTGTTGTTTCCATTTTCCACTTGCCTTAAAATTTCAGTTTTCCATCCCTTCATGCCAATAAAATACCATCTGCAGAACTTTCACCTCTTCAGTTTCATTTTGAGAACTGGGTGTATCCACAGAATTTTTTTCAGGCATTTATTTCTCTCTGATCAATGGACACCAGCAATAACTGTGAAATGTTGCTCCATTTACTTAGGGAAAACTCACACTGAAGATGAAAATCACCCCTGTGCAGTGGGCTGGCTGAAGGTATGCATCACTTAATCCCCACTTCACCCGAATTCCAAAGGGTTTCGGTGGGATCAATGGTGCTGGTGCTCTGCAGAGGGGTAAATTTCTCCCGGAGTGATCCATGCCCAACCAGAGCTGCAGGTGCCACCAGGGTTCAGGCCCTGGTGTTTTCCATGGGTATCTCACAGTGAGGACTCCCACCATCCCTGCTGTCCACCAGGAGGTTTTGTGCTCATTCAAACCTTTGAAGGATTTGCATCAGCTTTCACTGTGATGATGTGTGTGGTAATTAAAAGGCACTCAGGCTGATTAAACCAGCAAAGGTGCTTGTGGTGCAGGCAGATTTTACATTCCTTCTGCCCTTGGTACCTCGGGGACTGAAAAGCAAAAGCCCAAAGCCTGACAGAGGTGTGCTGGGCCAGGCTGTCCCTGCTTCACCAAATCCACATTTGGGAGACTCCCATTTCTACCTGGCCTGGACTTTGGCTTAGTGAGAACTGAAAGTTATGCCTGAAGTCCTGACTCGTGGAAGTCATGAGAGTCATGTTCTGTGGCACAGATCCAGAGCAGTCAGAGAGGGCACAGGTGGCAGTGCTGGCTCTGCCACACCTGATCCTTGGGAACACCCTCCTTAAAGGAACAGCTGGATGCTGAGCTGAGGGGGAAGAGCAAATTTGATCTTTGCCCAGCAAAATATTTATTGCTCTGAGAAGCTGTGGCTGCCCCTGGATCCCTGGAAGTGTCCCAGGCCAGGCTGGATGGACTAGTGGAAGGTGTCCCTGTCCATGACAGGGGAAGGAAGTAGGTGATCCCTAATTTCCCTTCCAACCCAAACCATCCTGGGATTCTCTAACTCCTTGGCAGCAGTCGCTTGCCTCTGTGACTGGTTAGCTCGAAACACATCTAGCCTAATTTCAGAGCATGGATTCAAATCCTACAGCTGGGGTTTTGGGGAGATGTGTTCCTTAGGCTCCAGGGGATTGGGGTTTCAGAGCCATGTGTACCCAGCCCAGGTGTGTCCCATGCTGACATCCCGGGAGCTCAGCACACAGCCAGGGAAGCAGCAAGGTCCCAGGAAAGCAGCAGGATGCAGCCCCAGAGATGAATTCCCACAGGGAAGGCAGAGGGGTGAGCACAGAGTGAAAGCTACAATTGGTGAGGGGATTACACATCCAAACTGCATTTGTGTCAGATAAACACAAGGATAATTCATCATGGAATCAAGGAACCATGGAATGGTTTGGGTTGGACAGGACCTTAAAGCCCATCGATGGGCAAGGACACCTCCCACTGTCCCAGGCTGCTCCAAGCCCCATCCAGCCTGGCCTTGGACACTTCCAGGGATCCAGGGGCAGCCACAGCTGCTCTGAGCTCCTGTGCCAGGGCCTCACCTCCCTCCCAGCCAGGAATTCTCAATCTCCCACCCATCCCTGCCCTCTGGCAGTGGGAGCCATTCCCTGGCTCCTGTCCCTCCATCCCTTGTCCCCAGTCCCTCTCCAGCTCTCCTGGAGCCCTTCAGGCCCTGCCAGGGGCTCTGAGCTCTCCCTGGAGCCCTCTCCAGATGATCACCCCCATCTCTCCCAGCCTGCCTTCAATTTCTGAAGCACTTTGGCCTAATCCCCACTGAAACCTGGTGCTCAGAGGAGAATGGGGACCCCCTGTCTGGAGTTCTCAGTATCTGGGGCTGAGGTTGCAGAGGGGCCCCTTGTTCAGGGCCCCTCTCCAGGAGTCTCTCTGGCAGCACCAACCCCGAGCTGCAAGCACACACCCCCTGCTCCATCCCTGCCCCAGCCACACCGCCTTGGATATCAATTATTCAGGAAAACAGTCTCCAGGCAAAGGCTGTAGCAGCAGGAGGAAGGTTTTGTATCCCAGAGAGCAGGGGCTGGAGTTTCAGCACGGAGTTTGTCCTGAGAGATGGTTGCTGATGCTCCTGAGAGGTTTAATGTGTGGTGAAAGGAAACAAAACACTTGATTTAGGCTATTTCTTCACTGTGCCATTAACTGGCAAAAAAAAAAAAAATGAACTAATTCTGCTCATGTGACAAATGATGGGCATTGTCATATGGGAATGTGAGGAGAGCAAAGGCTTCTAATTAATAAATTATCTTAGAAAGGGATTTTCTGTCAACACATTTAAATACTGTGCTTCAGTTTAAAGAATTGATTATCCAATTATTTTAGTCTCCCCTTGGCTGCCTGCTGAGCAGCCCATCATTGGTTTGGTCATAGGAAGGGTTTTAAATAAGGCCCAGAGCTGCACCTTTAAAAACAACCCAACGAAACATCTTCAGATGTTTTCCAAACCCACAGAAACGGACGCTTAGACATTCCCTAAGCAGAGTAGCAGCGTGAATGTTCTGTTCCTGATCAGAGAAAAGTGATAAATGCTGACTACATCAGCTCACTTTTCATGCTCGGTGTAATACTCACAGGGCGAGCTTCCCGCTCCAGGAACCGGAGCTGGCCCGCTCCCGGCCTGCAGCAGGCAGGCTCTGCTGGCACAGGAGAGCCAGGAGCTGCTGGAAGGGCCGGGCTGGGGCTGGGCAGAGCTGAGCTGGGCACCCCGGGGCTGGGCACTAACTCTGCCTCCTTTGGCCCCCGCAGAGCCAGCGCGGGAGGCACGGCGGCCACTCCGCGGAGAACTCTCCCCTCGAGCGCCGCGGCCTTGTC